CACTCACTCCCAGAAACTATTTTTACTGTCGTATCGTTGAGGTACGATGAACTGCTGGAAGGGTATGAGCGAAGTGTCACTGTCGCCAACAAAACCATCGCGCGCGCGTGCCGATCTAAACATACGGTATTTGCGATTGTCACACGCGGTGCCGCATGGTCCCATCGTCACATAGCCCTAGGGTATCGTGAAGTGCACGATGGAAACTTATACTCGGTTTTCCGGTACATAAAGTGGCCGTAGTGACGCACATGACAACGCGCGCGAATAGTTTCCAGACACAGCAGCAAGCTTTTGTCATTTGTTCACTATCATCATCTAACTGGTTTCGGATAATTACTATTAAATGCAAAATTAAGATGAACAAACAAAAATTATGCTAAAAGAAAGCAAAAAAACTTTCGCGGTGGTTGAGGCGAAGGTGCTCTTATACGCGGGTGCGCCTTATACAACAGAAAATGAGGTATTTCTTCGTCACGAGTTATTGAACTGTAAACTCCCATATTCCCATTGCCTGAGAAGATGAAATTCGAAGAATACTAACTGACTTTGAGAACATATTGACAGGACGTGTAGACATCGCAGCCACGACAGTGTTGTCGTCAAGAGCACACAGCGTATAGAAGGCATCAGCAGACGACTCGACTACTTCCTCCCACGCCAGAGGTGTTTCCATAGAAGCTCTGAAATTAATACATCCCGGAAAATCAGAAAAGGCAAAATTTAGTGCGAAGTCACCTGTAAATGTAAGAGCTAGAACCGGTGGGTTGCTTGCTGATGTACATATCACCATTATCAGCTATCGTTAAGGAGATCACTGAAATAAAATGGACACTGTCATAACACAAAACAGATAACTTCAGCTGCAAAAGTAATAGTAACAAGTGCACTAACATAATCCATCAATGAATTGCTCATGTGTCATTTCTCCAGACATCGTGAAAAAGCGAAGTTCTGTAGTTCGATCTTCATGTTCGGCGCATGTATAGACTATCTGAAATTAGTACTTTAGGAGGACTGGTGCAGCTTAAAGTAGGCGAACGAAAGACCGTGAAGAAGAATTAAGTCAGATGGAAAGGAAGAATGGAAAGAAACATCCGCCTATACAAACACGTTGTTGAGTACAATAAACAATCTACCGAATGTTCTCATCACTCATATCCCCTTTGAGCTTCTTCTACGAAGCAATTTTAGAGAATGATCATATTTGATGAAAACGATCGTAAGTGAAGTGTATGTGGAGCAAGTTAGCTAAAACTAAGCCCATCGCTAACGATCTCTTACAGAAATGCTGAGCTACGGGCACAAAACTTGATCCTGACTCAAACTCCAACCTGGATCTCACGCATATCGGGGCAGTGTGCTAGCCCTTACATCACAAGAGTCACCTTTCCCCTAGCCAGGTCCACGGTTTTTGCGATAGCTTGGCCATCTTTCCCCTAGCCAGGTACACGGTTTTTGCGATAGATTTGCACAGTAGGCTGGGATGCGTGTGGTCCAGACTCGAATCCCGCTTGGGGTCAAATCTTTTGTCCATAGTACTGCATTCTTAAGATTACTTTCTTATCACCAACTTGGAGGGAGGGGGGGGGAATGGTAACCGTCATAGCCTGTCAAGAACAACATTTCAAATTGAAAATAAAGAGTGAACTATTCATCAGAGCGAATTCAATACCTATATATGATATATACGATTATATGAAATCTTCATGACATTCTGTTCTCGGTTAGATTAAAAACAGCGAACTAGAAACGCATGGAACCAATCATCAATGTCTTACCAAATTTAGCAAAAGTTCATAGGTAAAAATATCGA